ATATTATGACGCGAACAATTGTAAACATGTGAAAAGAAATGAAAAGTAAAGAGCAGAAACAAACAAAGAATCATAATAACAACAGGAGAGAAAAGTATCACGCCACCAGCATTCAACGATGGTGTCTATAATTTGATGGAAAATGAAAGATAAACAGAAAAAAATAATAATAATAAGCAATCGATAATCAATGAGCGAATGGAAAAGAATTCTGTATCGCACATGTACTCAAGGGAAATGTTTTTTAAGATACTATGCTGTTTATTACAAATCAATTTTTAAAAATTTACCTGTTATGATGTAATAATGATAAATATACTTTGTTTCCGATGTATGGAATCGAACGTCTTTCAAACTTTAATTCGATTGATTACAATATTTTTTCGGGTTTTACCTGTTCATATCGAACTTGCTGATAGTCAGATTTTGACTTTCAGAAAAGTCGTTTTTATTCTAGCCGTTCATTAAGATCTCTTTTCAATATTAACAAATATGCTCACAGAATATCCACATTGAAAGTTATATTTCATATTTCTGAAAAAAAACTGAACAATCGATTGACTTATCAGAAAATTTTCTGGTGATGATATAATTTTTTCTTTCTTGAACTCCCACTATCATTTTAATATTCAACGTAGACTTAGTAGAACGTTGTTTTTCGTGTTTCGGTTGTGAATACGCTCCTGGACAAAAGTAACCGCCTCCCCTGAAGTAGTTCGAATTTTATTGATATTGAGCTGAGTTTTTCTATACATGTGAGTCATGATTAATGCTGATCGCAAGCACTGAACCGCTCTCAGTTGATTGCTTTATACTTGAGTTATGCGATTTACCCTACTAATGTCGAAAAGTAAAAATGTCGAAAGATAAAAATATCGAAAGATAAAAATGTCGAGAGTAAAAATGTCGATCGATACAAATGTCGAAAGTAAAAAAGTATGAAGCATAAACATTTTTATTCGAGTTGTTGATTTAGGAGTTTGCCGTTTTTCACTTTTACTTCGCGTTAAAAATTTTTTATCAATAAAAGTTCTACATGAAATAAACATATTATATCTTTTCTCATCTACTGCTAAATAATGTTTCCTATTGAAAAATTTGAGTCAGTAGACGTTTTTACCTTTCGATCTTTTTCATTTCGTCATATTTATCTTTCGAGATTTTTACCTTTCGACATTTATATCCATCGACATCTTGACTTTTCGATATTTTTATCTTTCGATATTTTTATCTGTCGACATTTTTACCACATTTTTTTTCGACATTTTTACTTTCGACCAAAGTAGGGTTTACCTCAATGCGACGCAGAATTGCCACTACGGGTAATTACGACGCAGTTGTAAAAAAAAGGGGTGACATGGGTAATGTGCTTTTCGTCTTCATATTGACACATGAATTTGATCGATCAATGAATTCTGTTGAAAATTTGCCTAATGAATTTTTCTACGGAATATTTGGTTGTCTTGACGGTTATCTCAGCTTAAGAAAATGATAAAATTTTGAACTTTATTGTCTTAAAAGATGCGCCGTGAAAATCTCTACCAATACCGCTTAAAGAAATTCTTATTAACTCGGACTAATGATTTTCATATACTCACAATAAATAACTCGTATGTTATTGCTCTGCCCCATTTTTTTTTGAGTATCGCACCTCACTATATTGCGAAGAAATTTTAATTGGTTTAAGTTTCGATAAAATGACATCAAGTAAAGAAATAATAAACGATGAATAGAATGTTGCAGATTGAGATACCAGTACATTATAATATTGTTGACTTGTATCTATTAAGAATATTCGTTCTATCCCTTTCCAATTTTAAAAATCAAAATTTTTCAAATTTTTGTGTTTCATTGATATATATATACTTTGAAGTGTCACCGATTGATCTGCAAAAGAAAATATACTTCTTTCAAAATATTTCTTCTGAACGTTTAACCTACTTGTAGTTACCTCATTTTTAGCTTATAATCATGTTTGAATCGCATGTCGAGATGTGATCAATAAGATGAAACCGAAGTTTTTGAACTTCAGATTTGTTATGGCTAGTATGCGTTTATTTTCTTTTTTATTCAAGACTATTCCCAATTGCTGATTGAAGGGTTAATGCCTTCGAAACGGTTAATCTCAGTTTTTAATTCTGTAGTTGACTATTTCATTTATTTCCTTTGTTCCGTTAGTAATAAAATAGACGGATAATAAATAACAAGTATATTGTTCATATGTGTTTGATTAAGGACATCTTGTAGGTGTAAGAAAAATACTCTCTCTGAACTTAGAAAACTAAGTAGTTCATCATATGGACAGTAGCCGAAAACCTATTAAATCTTAAATAGAAAGAAAAAAAAATATTAGTAATCAGGAGAAAATCGAAATTGAATTTTGCTTTGCGTTTTCTCAAAATAAAATTTTATTCAAAAAAATATTGTTTCATCCCCAATTCTTTGGCATAGTAAAATAGATCGAGATGAAACATTTTTTACATAGACTGGTTACTATTTGGGATGGAGAATGTGAGTTTGGGTGTGGTTGCATGTCTGCTCTGCTCCTACACCCACACCCTCAAGTGAAATTATCTTTCACTATTGTAATTCCAGTATCTCATTGAAAGCAGCATCCGTGAGCTATTCTCCAAAAACTCAGAAAAAGGAAGGCGATCCTTAAGGGTGTGGGATGCGGATCCGGGTAAACAGAAGAACCACATGCTACGAATTTTTTATATCAGCCATGATCAATGTTTTTCACTCTATCCGAAGCTGTGATCGAAATTCATGAAACATAGAACAAAGGTTTTGGAATTGGTCTGGATTGACAGAAATTCATATTCTTAATTGTTCTTCGACCAATTCCTATCAAGTTCCAGTGATGTGCAGACTTTATTTTGCATTATACAAAACTTCAGAACACATCTAGAAAGAGCGTTCAAAACTGAACACAGCTGACACGAAGAATCGCTGTGAATCCGAGAAATTTCAATACTGGAAATATTTAAGACTCTGATTAGAAATTCAAGGAATTGGTTTATCCCGGCTTACAAAAACACATGTTCAGTATTGAGATCTCTCGGACTCCCAGCAATTCTTCATGCCAGTTGTGCTTAGTTTTGAACGTTATTTTCAAATCTATTCTGAAATTTTGTCTAATACGAAATACGGGTCTGAAAATTAGTTGGACTTGATAGGAACTGGTCGAGAAAAAATTAGAAATGTGAATTTTCAGTCAATTTCAGACCAATTCCAAAGCCTTTATTTCATTTTTCGTGAATTTCGACTACAGTTTCGGATAGCGCCAAAAAAACTGGTCATGGTTGATATAAAAAGTCCGCAAATAATTAGAATCTTAATATGAAACAAATATCATCTTTAATATCATACTTTCAGAACTGGTGCATTCCTAATTGTAAGCGAAAAACGCCCATTGTTTTGCTTTTTTGTGTGTTTACACGCGTTTTTAACAAGTTTTCTCTGCCAGCGTGACATGCCTGGAGGAGGAGATTGTAGGTATCGAATTCTTTCTTTCCTGAAGTAACACAAATACTTGGAAAGGAGTATGAATCGAACAATTTTCGTAAGTCAAAAAGCATTTTCTCTCAACTGTATATCGCCCCGTCTCCTCCTCCCGTGGAACAGTCTATCTCATATGAAGGTATCTGCATATTATAAAAAACTCGAAAGAAAAATCGGTTACAGTTTTATTATCAAGTAACATGGGAAAACAAATTGATTACCCGCCCCCGCGAAAAAAAGAACAATAGAAGTCCACTCTTGAGGTTAGAGTTTTCTGAAGAAAATAGACGCTCACTTTGAACAAGATGAACACAAAACAATGAAAAGTGATTGAATGCTCATATTTCTATTAATTAACAAAAAAACTGAGCTCAACACGAGCTTTCTTGCAAACTGATAACTTGCGGAACAGAGACCCCCCCCCCCCCCCCCCCCCCCGGGCTCTCTCCCTGGGGGGATTTTTCAAGAAAAGCGGTTGGTTTGGTAGTGAAGGGAGGAAAAAAAAAAAAAAAAAAAAAAACAATCAATCAAAGAATCAAAAAAAAAAAAATTT